TATATTTCAATTGTCACCTGGCGTTCATGCAGCCAGCAATAACAAATGATTTTTGCCAGCACGAACCCGTCACCGAGACCATAGATAGCTGGAATTCAATTTATAAACATTTCGTAATTGATAATTGAATGAGCAAGCACGTAAGACACCAGTATCAGGAGTGAAAGTTGTAACCTAAAAAGCATGTGTGATGGAAAACAAAATGCGAATAATGCTAAGACAGGGTAGACTTTCGTAAGCCAGCCATTTGTTGCAAGCAACTTCAAGCTGTTTCTTCTCCACAAAGATGGCCTAACCGTCGAGTTTAGTGCCTTATTATTCGGTAGCGGCACACATTCACCACGAATGTATCGTCTACCGAATATTTAACTGTTGAGAGGAGGTTGAGAGAAATGCTATATATCTTCGAATCGTCAAGCAATACTCTCCAGCGTTCAAACTACAAGAGATGCTCAAACGAACCAAAGCATAAAAAACATGGGGCAAAAGAAAAAAACGCCAAGGGGTCACTTTTGTTTATTCGGTAAAAACACTAATTAATAACTAGTAGCAATGCGGTCGCGGGCAAGCACAAACAACAACTTGAGTGATAACGCCGATGATGCCGTTATGGAATGACAAAAAGTAAGAAAACGACCAGCAAAAAGATCAATACAGAACTCATTTATAGCGCAATCTGTAAGCAGTCTCTAGTCACTATTTGTGACATTTTTAAAATAAAGTTCCAATTTTTGACTAATTACTATTCACAATACAGCATCTAGTCACTAGTCACAAAATACTGTCTCAAATTTGTCAGCTAATAATAATCAGGGCACAGAAATAATAAAAAAAGGCAAAACAAACAATTTGTTAATTTTACAAAGTTCTGAATTCAATTTGGAAATATTGTAGAACTTTGTCTCTTCGTCGCTCCTCCTCTTCATTGCAGCTATCATATCAGAAAATATTTCTTGGGATGTCTGCTTTCGAAAACGAGAAGTTGATGGCATGTCCTTGACTGAGGGACTCTACGGATCAATATGGATTATAATGTCGTTCTAAATGTAAAAAACAAGATCAGTCGATTTTATGTACTTATAAATATTATAAAATGTAGGTATAAATATTTTATTAAATCATACCTCTATTCCAATTGTTGACACATCAGGCAGTCCATCCACCAAGGCTCTCCTTAAAGTCTCCACTACCCGCTCTTCCAACTCTAACGATTCAGTTTCTTGCATAGGCCCTCCACCTCTCAGCATTCTATTCACATTCGCCTTTCTTGCCCTCGATCGTATTTGGTTTTTCCAATGGTTTAAACACTGTAAAAACCAGATATTTGTTACAATGAAAATATGCGTATATAAATATATACATATATGTATATGCAAAGATTTTTCTCCCTCCTATTGGTAGGTGAACATGATAGAACTTTCAAGGCATTTAGCAAGATCGATCGACAGCTTTTCCAACCTTTTAGGACTCGTGGGATCATTTTTGTGGAGCTTCATCTCAGGTCACAAGCAACAGTTAATTACATATATACTAGAAAAAGAATATAATACAAAATATTTAATTTATAACGTTTTCTTACCCTTGCTTTCCATTTTGAATACATATACCGACGGCAGTCTCATATCGGTTATTTTAAGTTTGATATCTCGAGTATTAAGACGGTTGTCTTAAATTATAAAAGAAGTACGAAGAAATAAGTAAGTATATTTTCGAAATAACTTAATATATTTTTTTAAAAAATGTTTATGTAGTTTAATATTGTTAATTTTTACAAGCAATTCGAATGATAATAGGATTATAAAAAAACTTTCAAGAGAATTGATTTAAAAAAAATGCTTGGGCGCAAATTTCGAAAGAGTGTGCGAAAGATGTCGCAGAAAGTAAAATAAAAAAAATTATGATCTACCGAAGACATATGTACTATTAAAGAAAAAGATGGACGGATGCAGGAAGTCTGGGATGTCAGCTGATGTGGTATATAAACAACATTTATATTCCCAATGCCATCTAAACCCTTACTCGGGCTCTATCTTGCACGGCATTTAATTCTAAACTTCGTTTAAAAGCTTTTAACATTCATACAATAACATTCATACAATATCGAATCAACCCATAAATATCGTACTCTATAAAGTAAAATGGTGTTTGAAACAATTTTTTTAAAGGTTTATCAGATGGTATATTAAGTTGGCCTCTGGATAGCTTATCATATAAGGCTGTTTTCACATAATATGTCACAACATCGGTTGCTCTTCAATTTGCTCCAATACTGACATAAATAAATAGGCTATATGCGTCGATCACGGCAAGCAAAATTATGCTGAAAACCCTATACAATTAAAGAAGTCTGACCGAGAGTGGAGTGGTGCTTTATACGTATGTATATGCTTTCCAGCGATTGCACCAAGAGTGTGTAGAAACTGCCAAAGTCATTAGCCACATTTAGCCATTCATTCTCTGTCATTGTTGTCTGCAAAGGAATAATATTTATTATAAATGTATGTACAGATATATAAGAATAAGGATAAGAATTCGAATGGCCGAAATGAGTCTCCAGTTGCTATATATCAGGCAGCCTTTGATGAAATGGCGCATCCCATTTGCGTATTTTGTTTTCGTATTCCTGAATCAACCATATTTTTTCATACATGAATTTAAATAGTTTAGTTTCGAATAATAACTCAAATATAAATTACATTGTGATATATTACCTTTGAAATAATATCTCTGCAAGAATTGTTAAATTCCTGATCTTCCTCTCATAAAATATATTTTAGGAGATGTGCTTCCAAATCATGAAGATCTCTTAATTCAAGGAATGGATTTACACATTTTGGTCTTGTTTTTTGTTTCTCTACGAATTTATAAGGCCTTGTCAAATTTTGAAGCACTTAAATAGCTCGTACTTGGCTGCTCTTTGCATTTCGCAAATGATTATGTTATGATAACAAATGCCCACAAACGGATTTAGCTATGGTAATGGCAATAGATTCGACAGTTATAGCTGAAACAACGAACAACGTAAACCCGCAGCCCAAATCAGCTGATACAACTATGTTATGAGAGCGCTTCTACCGCCCGCTCTCCCGTATGCTACCGTAGAATAGAAAATTGTAATTGAAAACTTAGGTGTGTACAAAACTATATATGCATATATGAAAACAAAAGAAAATTGCTGATTTCTACGGGCGATAACTATGGAAGGGACGAAGAGAATTCACTGCTTCTGCTATTAGTATGCCATAAACTTTTGCCTGTCGAGATGCGCGGCTATGTACGAATTCATGTCGATATTTTTGTTGTTATTTTTACGTTTAATGTTTTGATAAAAGCGCAGAAACGAGCAGCGAAATGGCGAATCGCAGAGGGGATTCTTAAAATCTCGACGAAATGTGTGTCTGCCTGGTTCATTGGGCAGCTAGTTTTGCTTTCAAATCCATGCTACCATTATCAATTAAAACTCCAGACTTTTTGTTCGGTTTTTATTTTATATACATACGATTACTTCAGTAACAACTATATGCAACAAAAATGAATTAGAAAATTATTATTATTACAAAATATTTGCCAGAAAATCTTATCATTAAATCCACATAGATTTATAAACTGTCGAATATATTTCTGTAAATATATGTAGCTACGACTCTTTTCCTTAAAAAATATATTTGTTATGTAAGTTAATCCAAATTTATTAGACGATCAATAATGGTACTCTAAGTAAGCTTTGTTCGATTACATACATACACACATACGTTCAACTGTTGATCTATAAACATTTAGTGACAATAAAAATATATAGTTTATTATATATAAATTCTGGATTTTTATATTTATCTAAGAATATATAACTTTAGGTACTTTTTGACATAGAATCTTGGAGAATTGCACACGATTAATGGTAAAGCGTGGTCGTAACTTTTATAAATTCAGCCTCCTGCTTAAGGGTTCACCCGAATGTGAAATATATAGTGTTCAAAGCACATGTAGTAACACGTTGAACAAATTGCTTAAGCTTATGGAATATTGTATAGCATATATATTTATTGAAACTAAGCTAATTCAGTTTTTCATTTCCCTGCAATCCGTGTCAGCAATTGCGATACATAAGTGTATACATACATACGCACATACATAGTATAATATATTGGTTCAAAAGAAATTATCACCCACAAAAAAAATATATGTACTGTTATTTTGTACAAGAAACATATTTTTGAAATCTATAAAAAAATTTGAAAAAAGGATTATTAAATATCGTGATAAAACTAAAGCATTTTTTGTAGAAAATATTTGTCTTTAAAATTCTTCAAGTTCTATCTAAATTCTATTAAACTTTCTAGTAAATTATATAGTATACCACATGGTCTGAAATTTCGGCTTAACGTTGAAAGAACGTGCATTTGAATGAAAATATGACTTTTCTAGTCTAGTCTAAATTTGTTGCAACATAGACGCTTTTTTCCACCTTGACCTCATAAATTGAGTAAAATCTGTTTCCAGCGAGTTTTGGAAACAAGAAATTTAGCGATGTTTTCAGATGTTATTGACTGTTCTGGTCTCCCTGAACAGGTTGCATCATATGTTAACGAAGTTCAGCTAACCGATGCTTGGCTGTTGAATATGCTGGGAGAGATTTACTTTAACGCTATCATATTATTCCCTTGCGAATGGTGAGAAATCGTTGTTTTGCCCCATCCAGAAATAATAATAAAGAAATAATTATTCAAACACGAAAGAGCGTCACTTTAAGGCTAATGAGTTGAGGGCGATTAATAAAACTATTATGATCTCCCAATCAAGCCAAAAACTTTTTAGCTTATGAAGTACTTAGATAAAGAAATAGCCATAAAATCATAACCTAAACTTTTCTAAAAATATATATTTTTGTATACATATGTACATACATGTTTGTAAATATGTTGTACATATACTTTATAGGTATAGACGCATATGAATACATATAGGCTACCTGAACTGCACACAAAACTTGCATTTATAGAATTAAACACGAACGCAGCAATTTCAGTAAACACAAAACACATAATAATATGACAGCAGTTTCTTTGAATGGTTGAATTACAAAATTAATTTTCTGCAGACTAATAACAGCTGAAAATGTTAATGTATTTAGTTTTTTTAATTCACTAAAGAAAAGAAGTTGTCAACTTTTCCTAATAGAGAATTTTTGCATCAACATTTTCTGAAAATAACATTTTGTGTTATAATCATTCACTGTTATTAACACCGCTGTCATTAACGTTTTCTGTTTAAACTCACTGTTCCGTAATAACAGCGCTATAATAACTGTCTGTTCGACCAGCAAATTGTGCTGTTATCATAACATTTAATTCAAATTGGTTGGTGGATTAGTTAAATTGCCGCGCTGATTGCTAGCCTCCTGCAGTGGAACCCATTGGGCGAGTGAATTTTTGGAACGGAACATTTGTTCGAAAAACATGCGTTCCTCGGGGCGCACTTCTGCAGAGTTGCCAATGACTGCACGACCCAAAATTTCGCTGGAGCCTAAATATAAATAAAAGTTGCAGTAGAAAAAGTATTGCAAGCACAAGTTATCAAGAAGTTTGGCAACCTACCCAACAGTCCATCGTGAACGACCGTAAACTCAATGAGACAATTCTTCAATGTCTCCTTGTTAACATCAAATGTTAGTGCTTCGTTATATACCGGATTTATGGTATTACGTGTGACGCCAGTTTTACGCTTCTTGATTTTCTTACCATCGGACAGTAGCGCTACCTTAATGTACGGATCTGATGAGTTCCGCGAATCATCTATTATGCGTAAGTTGCGCGCTTTGATCAATACCACGGTCAGGCGTTCAGCTGAGGGCAGAAATGAGAGCGAAACCATAATGTCGCCCAAATCGACCTTCATGTCCTAAATTCAAATACACAAACACATGCATTAATATAACGGTTTCAACAAATCATCAACATTTACGTGTTCAAAATCAGATCAATTGGCATGTTCTATTTATGGTATTTATAATGGCTGCTGGGTACCATCTACCTATGTAGATACTTACTTGCTCTGCACAGGAGCCTAACGGTGTCCACAACTCAACTTTTTCGTTCAGATCCAAGCTGTTTAACGGTATTTGGGCGCCTCCAATACAGACATGGCGTGAGTACGCGTCAAAATCGTAGAGCAAAATCTCAATTGTGCGCTTATCGATTACATTTGCATTCTCTTCAAAGACGAAATCCTCATCGAAAACTATAAAAATTGACAAAGGTTTAGTGAAACGTTATTGACTAAATTTAAATAAGCTTTAACTTAAGGCCACTTACTAGGATTGAGAGTTTTCTTGTGTATGCGCGTTTGCCAGAAATTCTTCTTCTCGGGAAGCAGACGTACTTTGGCATATGGGTCTGCTGTGCGGCTGAAGTCGCGCGGTTGCAAATTTTGTGCCTAGGAAAGATCAAAACATATTTATTTACAAATACATATACACATGCTTGTTAAACTGTTCACTTCTATTAAATGTACGGAGAGCATGCCGGCTATTGTGTCATAGACCACACTCAAATGAATATTGCCACGAATATCATCACTGCCTTGCGGCGATCCCTTCTGTTGAGAATTCTGTACAAAGTAGGAATGTTCAGAGCTATATTTTCATCATCAATGAGACAACAGAGTAGCCTTACATTTCTATAGAGAGACATGTCGATTTTTGTGTGGTCCAATTTGGCGCTCATCGACGCCACCTTTGGTCTGCTGGGGTTCATGCCCAAGACGACGTGCTTATCCGAACGTGTTATAGGCACGGAGCTCGTTGAAGACATCGAGAGCGTATTCGATTTCAAACTACCCGTTGGTGAGGTGGGTGTTGGTGGTGGGGACTCTTCTGCAGATGTTGAAACCTGTTGTTGCACAGTCTTGCGCGGCGGTGGCACCCAAAAAGTGGGATCGTCAGTATTAATGGATGTGGGGCTTATATTGCCCTTGCAAATCGAACGAGAACGAGAGCATTCGCTGATGTTGTCCGCATTAAAAGCTGCATTGCCGGCAACGAGCGGATCGGTGCTGTTGAATTGAGAAGTAAATTATATGTCTGCCGTGTCTTTGATTTTTTTCAGTGCAAGTAAACTCACCACTGTTCGGTATCCTGTTTCTCTGCAGCCGATTCCAGTAAATTTTTCTCAAACCAATTGAGTCGATATTTTTTCGAACACGAAACGTAGAACAATGCACCCACAACAGTCACCACCAGAAAGGATATGGACGCATAAATGCCCACCTGTGCCACTGACACATCCTCTTCGCGGATAACAATGTCCATGTTTCTGCCGTTACTTAGTGCAGGCATCTGGCTGGTTCTCTATTAAGTGTTGTTGCGACAGCAGGATTTGCTCGAAAGCTCCTGTAAACGAGTAGAGAAGAATATCGTAGAAATACGGCTTTTGTATAGTGGCTGAGCGGAAGCTTTTGCCAATCAAATACTCTTTACGTTATCAGCGCTTTTAAAAGTTTGATTTTGTTTGCGCTTCCTCAACATTTTATTTCGCTAATGTGTATTTATTGCTTAAATAAATTACTGTCACAACGTACAAGCACTGCAGCTTTTCAATGCAAACACATAAGTTGAGTCGATTAATAAATTAGAGTCTGGCGCGCAATATTTTTTTACTTACTTTTTGTTTTATAGATTATATGTATTGTATATATTTATATATATGTATATAAATTAGTAGAATCACGTGTAAACGTTCGGTAAGCATCACATGTAATAATATACACCTACCCACAATTATCTTGAAATGAGTAACGAGTTATCAGTGTTGGCGCCTACATGATTTTTTCGGAGCAAAAAGATTCACTACAAAAAAAAAGCTTAAGTAAGTTTAGTTGACTGACTGATTTCAAAATTATAGACTGGAATATATATAACATATTTACATTTAGCACTAATTAAATCAAATTATTAATGAAACTACTCAACGAATCTGACGGAACAACTTGTGACAGATATGCTAAGATGTGTGTGGGGTATTTGAGGTTTTCATATTACGAATTTATATTCAAAAGTTCCATTACGTAAAGTAATTTTTGTAATTTTAGTGAATGGTTGTGGTTTAGCTCGCACACACCTTAACAAAACAATCGTGCTTAAACGATGCTTAAAAGAAAAGACATATAAACAATGCGTTGATACTTGCAATGAGCATGTATTATTCCGTTCCAAGTGGTCAGGTGGAAGGGAGACCTTCTTCTTCATGGTCGGGTTCGAGACTGACCTAAAATTCTGCCATGCTGTGAATCTGGCACCCGGTCGCACTCCTCCCTACCTTTAGGTTTAAACCACAGCCACCTCTCTAAAAGGCCCATCCCAATGAAAAGATTGGAGCCCTTGCAGGGGTCAACTGCTCCCCGTGGTACCAGATTTAAGGCTGTTTTTTTTTAACTTTTAATACTACAAGTTGAGCACCCATCAACCTCAATGACTGATGACATTTGTCGCTTAATCTTCAAGTGTCCTTTCATTAGAAGCAATATCTTTCAAAGTTTATAATATCAGTTCAAGCTGAGTATTATATCACTAACAAGATTATGCTGAAATTTCGAGGCAAACCAAATAACAGGCATAGTGCATTTTAGATTATAGATTATAGTCAAAACAAACTCTACCCCTTGATTACTGAGGGAACTGCTTGACTACAATTTTACGTGTTAGGAATTTTTAGTATAATTTTCGCCATCTGTCCAATTGAGGACAGCTTTGGACACCATGCCAGGCCACGCACATTAATACAGGCACACCTGTGGTTCCGGAAATTTGAAAGGCAGATTTTAATGTATCCACCTCATAGTCTGAACTCGGCAATAAATATTACTACCTATGAATGATTTAACTGGTGAAAAATTCGCCTCTAGTAAAGCCTGTCTAAATTTCCAACTTCCAAAGACAAAAGCGTTCCTACGAGAGTGGCATTATGAAATCAAATTCACCTCCACAAGTTATCGCACAAAACGGTACACATTTTCAAACATTCTTACTTTGCTAAATAAAATCTGAATTTGCAATCAAAAATATTGGATTTCTTTTTACTGGACTTCTACTAACATTATGTATTTTTACCTCCCCCTAATATATGGGTTTTGGGCAAATTAATTGAAACAAAAAATAGAAAAATCATGGTATTGTAGCACTGAAGCAACAAACAGGTGCATTTCTTACAGCTCAGAAAAAATATAAAAAATTAATAATATTTTAAATCTTACTAAAGATGTCAAAACTAAACAACCACTCTTCGGTTGAAATACCATATATCAAGAACTGCTAACCCAATTTCATGTTCATTAGGTACATAACATTATTCAGACATTCTTACGCTACTTTGGAACATGGGATCGCAACCACGACACCGTAAATTAATCACAATTTAATATTTTTTCAATAAAACTTTTTACAAATAACGTCATCAAGGTATTAAATACCCTCTCGTGTCTTAGAATTCTCAAAATCGGACGATAACTTTCTAAGCCATCATATGACGGATATGTGGACATCAGTACTTATCGCTGACATTTTACCGAAAATATGGTAATATTAAAATTCGGAGAGAACCTCCTTCTAACAACAATATACCCTTGCGTCAAATAGGGATTAAACACATTCAGTACTTCCCGTAGCTCTAATTTATTTAATACTGAGATATTCGTACCTCCGTTTATSCCCACAAGAAAAAGTCTAACAGTGCRATATCATCTTTGTGACCAATCGACCGGTCCAAAACATAACATATCTGCTCACCGAAGTGCTCTCTCAAAAACTCCACTGKTTGATGCGATGTGTGGGAAGTGGCGCTGTCTTGTTGAAACGTCACCAAGATCACGAACTATAATTTCGGACATCAAATAGTCGGTTATTATGGTGCRATAACSGTYGCCATTGGCGGTTACGTTCTCACYGACATCATTTTTGAAGAAATATRGACTRATGATACCACCGGCAGACAAACAACACCAAACCGTTGTTTTTTTCAGGATGAAATGACAGCTCTTGAATCTCTTCAGGTTACTCCTCGTCCCAAATGCRGCAATWTTGATTGTTTACATACMCATTGAGMCARAARTGGACTTCATCGCTGAACAAAATTTGGACGTGGTCCATTCGGTCAAATTATCCAGTAATGAGAGCTGGATCTAAAGATSGTTTATGRTGTTGCGAATAGTACGCTAAGTAGTTCCAATTACAGAACATAAATTGATGTAATAGAGTCGAGCGATATGTAAACGATGTTCAGGCGTAAGACTTTCCCAAATAAAATGAAAAATAATACTAGACAAAAATACCACGACAGCTTGATATGACTCTGTCAAAAAAGTGTTATTGAAAAAARTATCTCTACCTGCATTACCCGTTACTACAGTTTAGTACTGGAAGTAATCTTTGGTAAKTGAATATATGACATAAACAAGTAATCTTTTAATCTACTGGAGGATGGAGTCATGTGTAGAAGTTCAMGCAAGTGAGGAAAGTTCTCTGATCGCCATTCACTTGGGARTGACCAGAAACGATTCTTTTACATATGACTCAAGCAGCTCACTACTTCCGGTCTTTGAACAAGTATCCTCTGGGTAGCCTAAGAACATYCGTTTGAAGGTGAGCTAAAGTGAGAAGGCGAAACATTCCCTACGTAGGGTTGTGCGCTGGGCTTGGGACSCGCCACGTAAAAAAACACCCCCAATGAAAAAAAAAACAATCTACTTACGGTTTCGGCAAATAATTAAAGTGAAACTCTTCAGCATTACTTAGTGATTTAATATAAAGTTTCTACAATACCTGAAATTACTTTTCTGGCTTTGAGCGTTGTCAATGGCGAGAATGTAAAATGTTCGGTTACACATTAGCTTAGCTCTTTCTTACTGCGTTCGTATTGCATGGAATTTGCCATATTTAAACCATTTTAGGAAAATCGAGCAAACTGGACTATTTTTCTCTCAATATTTAAAAACAGTCGAATACCTTAGAAAGTGATCAAAAACCGAAGTCTATATATGTATGTTCGTAAGTTTGTCCCCTGCGCCTATTAAATACCGTAAGAAAATCAAGATTTTTWTGAAACAATATTATGAGTTTACCTCCATTCTTGAAGTAAAAACTTCCTTACTYGTCGGCGTGTATGCCAGCACGTGATTTCCCATTTAAATAAATTTTTATTAACTCACTATTAGCCAGAGATAGTGCTCGTATACTTATACTGCTATGATTAAAGCTTATGTGAGCATATGGTATTTTATGACCTTTGGAGCTTTTGCCATATATTCCATATTTCCATTCATATCAAAGTGATAGCAAACACATTTSTGCCTTTCCGATAAGCATAAATATACAACTAGCAGAGTTTAAAGAGAGCCAACTCATACTCATATATTAATGCTCTCTCCAAAAGCACGTATGTACTTCCGCAACTGAATTAACTGTACATATAGTAAGGGTAGTCATATAATGGGAAATTATGAGTATTAACATGACGATATAGTAATTTTATCTTATTGACATATGAAATGATAAAATCTGTCTGAAGCGTTGTTTACAAAATGATAGATTTCCGCGAATGCAAACGATGAAGTGTTAATCAATTCCATAGACTGCAACAGGTTGCACAGAAAGTGTTGTTGGGAACACATAAGCAAATTAAACAGTTATTTGCATTAAAATGCCGGATGTCTGGCAGCTCGTTCGCTCTGTTCGTGTCTGTAATTCAGTGGTTGATAATTCCTACGAAATCATAACTAGGTATACTTCCAGGGAAAGTATATGATTTTATGAAATGTATCAGTGATATCCGATGAAACCCATTGATGGCATCTGGTTCTACCTTACTCGTGGCCCCTACATAAGTTACAATCGTTAAGTTGTAGTAATACCGTTGTCATAATTTGGTTATAAATGTATAGGAATCGATCCATACGRTGAATCCGAGTAGACGAAAACACTCCAGTTCACCCGCCGGGGGAAGTAGAGGAAGAAAAAGACGTCCACTCAGTTGGAAATACCAGGTAGATCCATTGGAAATTGGATGTCAAACAGCGAAAACGAAGAACAACTGGCGCGCTGCTGTAAACTCGACTATTACCACGTAAGCGATGCTTAAGCCAATGAAGATGAAGAATCCATACAATTAACAAATGTAATGTTTTGTGTTACTCCAATTGTGTACATGGTGTCTATATATCACTGAACCCGTCTCCTCATATGAGTACCCCTAATTCTCGTACTTATACCTGTATTGTTATATCATATATGTATGTACTACGAGCGTGAGGCTTGTTTATGAAAATTGTCAGTTTGTTGAAAATTATAAGATTTTGCGGTTGAGGTGCCGGTAGATCTAAGTAATGCGGATATGAATTGCA